CAGGGCGATCTCTGCAGTCTTCGGCATCACCATCCGCGAGTAAAAGGATCCTTGGAGGTGACGCAGCGACCCTCTTCGCTGATGGCCATCACGACCACGGCCGCGCCGTGCTTCAGGCACTCCTAGCAAAACGAGGCTTCTGGCAGGATCCTTCGCATCCCGCAAGATCAGGTCATGCGTCCTTGGCGATTTTCAGAAACTCCTCTTCGCCGACCATCAAGCAAATGGCGTTTACCTCAAATAGCAGCAGCTGTTTGACGCAGCTACGGATCGAACTCATACAGCATTGCTGCTATACAGTAATACCTCTCTGCTGGTCAGGACTTCAGAATGGTTCTGTCACAGTGGTTCTGGCCGCTGAGTCGAGCTGCGATGCTGCGGCCCTGCACGCTTGTGAGGCCCTCCCGGAGGCACTTCCACTCTGAGGAGCAGAGCATCAACGGGGCTTTGGAGATGCGCTCGTCCGCATCGCACATTTCCACAAACTTCCTAAAGACTGCCTTGCTCCCGCGGTTGCTTCCATCGTTTGCGATGCCATCCACGCAGATATCCAGGATGTCTGCGCCCTTCTCCGCGTCCTCCGCACAGACCTCAAGGGCCTTCTGCAAGCTTGCCGGATCTTTCTTGGCCTTGTAGTCATCCACCAAAGCCTTGAAGCCATCCGAAGCCCTTGTGCTCCCACGCTGGCCCACCAGGCTGAAGCCTGTAGAAAACGTGTGAACCTCGTGGCCCGAGAGCATCATCGTCTTAGTGGCTTCTGGCAGGCTGCGTGGCACTCCCGAGACCTGAAGCTGTGCCAGTGCACTGACGTGCGTGGGGAGCCCACCTCCTGAGACGCCCAGCAAGTTCGGGACTCCAGCCTTCATCGTCTTGCTGGCATCGGAGGAAAGGCTGGTTGGAGCCTGTCCCTCCTCGCCGAGCCGCATCCCCGTGAAGCTCTGGCTCACCTTGCAAAGTGCCCCGTAGGCGCCACTCACCAAATCGCTCCCCGAACTTGCCACAAGGCCGACGATCAGTGGCTTCGCATGCTTCACGCTGACGTAGAAGGCATCCAAGCCCTGCCCACCGGGGGTGCGCCCAGTGCTGGGATCCACAACGGCATGGATCAGCATCGGCGGCACGCGCTGCTTCAGCTGGCGGTACACCTCGCTGGCGGCGTAAATAGCCGCCTTGGCGCTCACTGCATCCGACACAGCGTCGAGAGCCAGGAGGTCCACCCCGCCCTCTGCCAGTCCTGCGGCAAGACGCGGAACGACATCACATGCTACTGCTGCTCGCTTTTGCCCTCCCCACAGCTCCTTTGATCTGCTCACTGTAGGCCTCGACGAGGTCGTCGAAGCTTACGCTGCGTGTTTTATTCTTTCCGCCTGCTCAAGGGATCCCAGGATCACAAGACTAAGATCTCTTGAAGCAGGACATCAAAAGGGAGGCGCACCGAGCAAGAGGTTGCTGTTGGGGCCGATCAAGCCAGCCACCAAACGGGGCTTCCGGGGATCCTGCTTGGTGATGTCCTCAGCAAGGTGCTGTATGTTCCGCGCATCCTTTCTTGAACTCGGTCCCTCCCTGGGCATGCAGCAGCTGCTGCACGCTTGGCCAGCATGGCGGCTGTCTTGTTCATTTCCGCAACGAACTTTGAGGTCTTGAAGTCTCTTTGAGCCTCCAAGTCAACAAGAAGCAACAGTATTCTACTTTCTTGTCTTCGCTCAGGGTTGACATGCCGCTGAGCGCACGGCCAGCGCGTTTGCATTCAAGGTGTTTGTGCCTGAATTGGGCCGTGAAACATATAGAAATCCTACACAGAGCCTCGAAACAACTGGAACGACCGTTCCTTCACCTGGCGTGCCTGGCTTGCCCGCACTCTGAGTTCTCTGCAGCAGATGTCTGCGCCAGCTTTCAAGTAGTCTTTGTGGGTGTCCTCACCAAGTGCCAAGGTCAAGCAAGGATCCGTGTAATGCAGTTGCCTCGATCCCTCCAGCCCCCCGTGAAGGTCCAGCACCAAATTCGGTTTGGAGAGTGACAGCAGATCCACGTTTCCCAGCTGAGATGCCGAGTCACGAAGCACCTGGCGCCCCGTGCCCCCGAGAACGCCACGATCTTGAAACTTCCACACGAAGAGCACACACACTCTCAGTCTTTGCCGCTGGCCTTGGCCCGCTCACCACGGTAGTCCGCCTGAGACGAGCGGCGATCAAAGCAACGCTTCGTTCGATATGCGAAGACTGCGAAGCGACTGCGAAGCTGCGGAGGGACTCGGCCCGCTGCCTCAGAGAGGCCAGCAGCCTTCAGCTTGGGCCCAGGGCCGGCGTCCATCACCAGCGGCCTCTTTCGCATCTCCTGACAGAACCACGCAGTGTACCGAGATGTTGTGGTCGCTGGCCACTCTAAAGGGGCCTCGGCGAGGTAGAGAGCCACGTCAGCCCCACTCAGCTTTGCCTTGGCCATAACGTTCTGCGCCAGCTTCTCCTCACACGTGGGAGTGCCATTATATGCTATTATGGCAAATATGTCCTTGTCCATGGAAGGCACACACTGTCCGCTGCAGTCATGCAAACGCAGATGCATGCTGAACTTCGGGGGCAAGCGGCAGCATCGACCTTGCTCGCGGGCAGGCGGCAGAAGTCCATCCTCGCAGGGAGGAAAAAGCGGTGAGAGCAGCGGGTTGGGGGTAGAAACAGAGAGTTGGCTGATGTTGGTTACATAGTACAGAGTTGGGCCGTCTCGGACCTCTCGGCAGCGACGGAAGGGTCTGCGGCAACCTCTTGTGCAGGAACCACCGCCACCTTCTGTGCGAGGGCCTGCAGCGCCTTCTTCTGTTCAGAAGCATTGAGGTGTGGCTCAGCCGCAAAGAACGTCCCGGGCTTCCCATCCAAGGCAGACACCAAGTTGGAGGGGGCACTCGAGGTCTTGGGTGGACGCTTGATGGGGAAGCAGGTGCCCGCGGGGAGCAGATTGGTGTTCACACTCGGCAAGTTCTCCGATGGCTTTGCAAAGCTGGGAAATGGGCCCCGCGGCCAAGCCTTCCGCAACTTCTCGAAAGCCATCTGCCGCTCCAAAGGCGACATGTCGATCAGGGCCCTGCACTCCGTGATCACCCGGTTCTTGCTCTCCTCGTTCATCATGGCAAAATGCTTGGCCTCCTCCTCCGGAAAGCCCAGCATGTCCACCAACATCTCTTCCGAGGCGTGTGCCAACTCCTCTAAAGGTGGGATCTCTTTCACAGAGGTCCGCGGACGCCTTCGGGCCCCGGCCCTCCTCTTGGCTGTGTCTGTCTCTGCCGCTGCCGCGGCCAAGTCCATGCGCTGCTTCGCCAAAGGCTTCTCGTACATCTCCGACAACTTCGCCCAACCAGACAAAGGTGCCTCCTCTCGTGGCGCCTGCACCGGCTGTGGCATTTGGAAGGACATCCCTGCGCTCTCCTTGAGAGCCTCCGCGATGTTCAGGGTCGACAAGCCCTCCATGTCCACGACGATCATGTCTCGGCCGTTCTCGCGGATGTTCACCCAGCCGCTTGGGGGACCCCGCATGGAGAAGTCGGTGAAGCTGAGGCGGTTTCCGACTACCTGCACCTCTTCCACCACCGCCCCTTGAGGTAGGGTCCCTGGAAGGATCGGAGACGATTCGGCCACTCCCTGCCACACCGTCAAGCCACTCTTTGGGGCTCCAACGACCTTCCAAAAGCGCCCAGGACGCGGATAGGAGGAGTTCACGGGTTGCGCGGGCGCAGGCTCAACCTGTGGAGGTGGTCTCCACTTCTCGGAACCCTTCTTCCTCTTCGACGTTCCATCCAAGTCATCTTCGGCTGCTGGGGCAGCGCTTGCTGCCGCTCCGGCCTTTTTCTCGACTCGCGCGAGCAGGTCGACGCTGCCGTCCCTGACGTCTACCTTCAAGTCAGATCTCATGGACTAGCTGACAACCAAGAATGGAAAGCCTTCCAGAAATCCTTTGAGAGCCAAGGTGCCCAGCCGGTGTACGGCCCCCGGCCAGACAGTCGAAGGAAGCGCAGCCGATTGCCCTTCAACTCCTGCTCTTCCACGACCTCACAGAAGATGACTTGGCCGAGTTTGATTTTGGCGGCACCTGACTTGAGCTCTCGACGGCCCCCGCGGGCAGGACCTCTGGCAGTATGCGGCAGTACTCCTGGCACGGCCAAACGGCGGCACGGCTCAGCTGCGGAAGGCGGGTCAAGTCGCTCCTCGGGACCTTCTCTGGCAATGACGCCCTCCCTCTCCAGAACCTTCCACCGCTGGCCTTTCACCATGGCCTGAGCTCGTGCCCAGGTCAGGTCCACTCATCGACAGTACGGACGGGTCGCGCGGACGCGTCTCGGACACGTGGAGAAACCGGGCACAACTACGGACAGTTACAGGAACGCAAAGATACAAAGTTGCGCAGGCAGCCTCACGCAGAACCGGTAGAGGAGATTACATGGGCCATATAAATATCATATATATATATATATATATATATATATATATATATATGCATGCATTCGTTCAATGCGCTAGCTTAGTTGCACTGGATCGAGTTACTGAGGGGATGAACTGGATGTCAAAGACTGCACAAATACCAAGAGGGAGAGGGAGAGGGTCCAAATCCACTGCCAGCATGCGCTCAGCCGCTGGGCTCCAAGCAACGGCACGCCGGGCTCCGGTCCGAGCAAAGCGGATTGGGTGAGATTTCTACGCAGTTTGGATGGTTGGTTGGGTTTAACTTGGTCTGAGTCTAGCCGCCTAACCCTGCCCACTGACAAGTGCTGAGGCCTCGCTGGCCTACCTGTAGCTTCCATCTCAAGGCCGGGAACTGCAGGCGGCCGAATGCTCAAGTCCAACAGGTGCTCCGGCAAAAGGGCACTTTTCGTAGCAAGCAGCACAGAACTGAAGCTTTTTCTCGACATCTGGGCTGGGACTCGTTATCTCGTCGTAAGCTCTCCACGCCCCTCCTCTTCTGGGAGAGCTTCAGCTGCGCGGCCGCGCGTGGCGTGTGTGTGTCGGGGCGCCCCGTCACACTGAGTGATCGCGACCTCAAGGCACCCGCACTCCAAGATCGCTCTGACTCAACGGTTGGAAGTTCTACGAAGACGCTCCCTGCGCAATGCAGGCTGCCTTCCCGGCGAGCCCGGCTGGCGGGCATGTGGGGATCGTCGTGAGTCAAGCCGTGTGCGCGGCCTCGTTTTGAAAGCGGTGACAATGGTTTCCAGCAAAAGCGCGCATGGACTGCTCCTCATTATGCAGAGGGTGAAGGGCGAAGGCCCTACTTCTCCCAAGCGGCCCGCGGGCAGGCCGGGTGATTTCCGAGGCTTTTGCCGGAATGGTCGTCAAGGTCATCTTCGCCCGCCGGGCGAACATCCCGTAGCTTGCTGAGCCTTCAGAGTCCGCAACGCTCGGAGCTTTTTGCAACAGGAAACCCCCCCCCCCCCCCCCCCCCCCCGGGGGGGGGGTAACTGCCAGTAACTGCTAGTCAAGCCGTAGCCCCGTGCCTCGGTGGACATCGAGGGTCCTGCGCAGCTGCGACAGGTAGAAGCTTCTGTCTGCGGCATCAAAGGCCTATGATCAGATTATCAGATATACACATTTGGGGGCGGGTGTCCTGTCACCAGCAGACCTATGCAACCCTACAACGTTGATAGTTTAAGTGCACACTCGCCTCCCACAGGAGGGTTGGATGCAACACCTCAGTCCAAACAGGCCCAGGGTAAAGAACTGCTTGCGGCAACTTCTCTCGAAGGGGATCCAAAACTAGATCATCAAAACAATCGCAAACAGAAAGGTAAAAGACAGACGTTTTGGATGGACGGAGGGAGCGAGGCAAACAGCTGTGGGGATGGATGGACAGGGACAAGCGAACAAGGGCCGCACGTCTGCGGGAGTCTCCGCCGTAGCGTCGTAGTAGGTCTTCAGGAGCTGCCTGAAAGGGTTCGGATGCAACGAGGGATATCGACACAACTACCGGGAAGATTGGCTCCGGAATCACGAAATTTGAGCTTCTGGTGAATCTAGGGACTTCGCCAGCTCCCATTCCCTCCTGAGATGGATAAAAAAATTCCCGTTTCTCCTCGAAGGCCGAAAGCCGACCCTGGACTTCCTTGCGTCCCAGCGACGGAACGGGCAGGGAACTATGGAGCCGGGATCGCCAGGGAGCCTGAGGCAAGAGCTCCGGGCTACCGAGAGAAGCGCTGAAGCCGGAAGTGTTGATCCGAGCTGCAGCCCCACGGGCTTCGAGCGCACGACAACCAACGAACCGAGTCACACGAAAATCTTCTGCTTCCCTAAATTGCCCGTGCCGGGGCATCTTCACGGCACCTCGAGGATTGGCACCGCGATGCGCAATCTGAATCGAAGCCTCAGGTGTCCAACGTCACGACTCTTGTCAGTCTCTTGGGAGCATCGAAACAAGCATCCCTTTTCTTTGGCGTTGTCGCCGCTTGCCAGGAATTGTCATGTCCGTTCCGTTCGCTCTGTCATCATCATCCTGCCGTAAATATCATCACCATCAACCGTGACTGCAACATCAGCCCGACAATCGCACTATGAACATCAGCATCATAGTCAGCATGGCAAACATCCTCATCATCGCACTCAGCAGTCGGTGTTGGCCGTTGTGATGGTTGCCGTGGTTGTCGTCGGGCTTTTCAGCAGAAAGAGCAGTGGGTACGCACTGTGGGTCGGAGCAAGAGAAAATGCTAGCGGATCAAACACATCGAGGACATCTCCTGCCCACCAAAACCATATGCTACACAAGTTACCCACAGGTTTGTTTTTTTTTGCTGTGGCTGTGCTGCGGGTCGGGTCATGCATGGTTACAGTGCAGAATAGCTTACTTCTTGATTGGCAGTCTTCTGTCTGTTTGAGCGAAGCCACTTCAGCTCGGCCAGTCGCGCCATCACGTCGGCCAGGTAGGCCTGAAGACAGCTTGGAGACCCAAGGCCGCAAGGGAATATCTGGTCAAAGACGAGAACACGTCTTTCGGATTGCCTCTGTAAAGGGAGGATTGATGCACACAACCGAATTCACGGGCAGGTAGTCGATAACGGAAGGATATGATCCTCGCAGGGCTTTTGCCACATGGGCTGGTCTGCCCGGCTGCTTGTTTGCAACTCGATAAGCCGATGCCCGTCCTATGGAACCAAAACGCCACCTTCGGCAGCGAGCTTTCATGGAGACAGGGCTTGCACAGACGACAAAGAGTCTGAGACAGCAGCTCTACGTGAGGCCATTTGCTTGAGAAGCGCCCTGGCTTTCGCACTCTGCTGCGGAAACATCAGCACAAGCACGGGCTGGCAAGACCGTTTTGGACGGCTGCATTCAACGGAGAGGCAAACAGCTCGAAGTCGCAATGATGTCGAATCTCGGGGTCCAGCCTTCAAGAGTCAGAGCGCGCTGATACACTCTGCGCGCCACGAGCAATCTCATGAGCTTGGCAATAAAGTCGAGCCCCCAGCCCCAAGTGAACACCGTTGCGACGATTGCTCAAAGGATTGTCAAAAACGCTGTACAAGGCCAACAAGCGCGCCTGGGGTGTCAGCTTGGAGATAGTTGTTCCCTTTCAGCTCTCGGAAACTTTTTGAGCTCTTGGCGATCTCCAGGGGCTTCCGCTCGTCCTGGAAGGGAGGCACCCATCTGGCGTTCAAAGCCTGGCCAGGAGAAATCTCAGGCAGCGGAGAGCAGCTCATGAGCTGTGATGCTCGAGACTGCGCCTGGATGTCTCGGGAGCGGCACGAAATTTTGTGCCGGCCAACCCAAACCTGGAGCCATCTGCACGGCCCCAGGCCACAGTCTCAGAAGGGACGCCCTGGCCTCCGCGTTCCCACTCCAGCTCACACGCTGAGACAGCACCTGCGAGGTGCTGCGCCGCTTCGCTGAAACGCGGCATGGCACTGAAACCGCGCCAGGCCTCGTGGGGTATCCTGCTGATTCTCTGCACAATACCTCGTTGCGTGGAAGGCGTAGCATGTGCTGGAAAAGCTCTTCTCTCTAAGACAGGGCCAGGCTGCTCCGGCGCATGGTTTCTGAGACATTCAGCGTTTGCCAGAGAGGCGAGTCGACACCCGGGATCAGGTAGTCACCACCTTGACCTTGGGCAGGAACTGCCGTCCAACCACCAAACCCTCGCATGCGCCCGCCATCACGCGCATCGAATCCGAGTTTGCTCCCCGGGAACCCTGCGAGTGGGGTGCAGGTCGTGATCCATCAGGATGTGCGTGAGGCGCTCCTGCAATCATCACATGGTTTGCTTGCTAAAACAGTTGCCGCAACACCAACCCCCCGCGGGTCCCCCCCTCCCTTCGGGGATGCTGTCCTGAGGCTCACTCCGTGCACCGATCATTTGTCGAATATCCAGCAAGGCCGCGACTCCTGGGTTGGCTTCAGTCACGCACAGTGTGCTGATTCTGCAGCTGCAATTGCTCGCAAGCCATCAAATGTCCATGAAAAGGTTCGCTGGGCAGTGCACGGTTCTTTCTGGGCTCCCACACGTGCCCCATCGTAGAGGATGTCTCGGGGAACATCCTTGGAAAAGAGGGAACTCGAGCTGAAGCCACTTTGGCACTACGAGCCCTGAGCAGAGCAAAGGCTTCGGCCAGCGGAAGCCATGGCTCCGGGGCAGAGTTGTTCAGCAGCCAGGGGAAGGCGATTCTGGCCGTTGAGTCCGGGGACTGTGGGGGACTGTGGGCTGTGGGGGACACGGGACGCACTGCACTGCAGCTTCCCTCTCGCCTGTCGACGTCTTTGTCGCTGTCCTCGGGTGCCTCCCTCTCCCCGCTCCTGGCAAGAGGCCAAGTGAACGCCCGCATCGCTCCTGCCCCCCCATGCATGCTCCTGTCGGAGCCGCCCACACCACCGCCAGGCGGAGGCGCCAAGACTTCCTTGGTCCTGGACCAAACGCTGCGACGCCCGTCCTGACGCAGACTTCTTCCAGCAACCGAGAAGCCCGGGTAGCCCGAGTAGCCTAAGCGCACAAGGGTGCCTCTGTGATCCACACGAGCCTTTGGTTCTGCTCGTCCTTGGCTTTGCTGCATCCAAGTGGAGCTTGGATGACGTTTTGTCTCCAAGAGTCGGCAAGCTCGAGGCTGGCGTTCCCACATCGCCACTGCCGGCTCTCCGCTGGCCTCTCGACGTCCGGCTTACGCTTTGATCTGCTCTGAATCGTTGTGCCTGTCGATTCGCAGGACGCGGTCTTTTGCTTCGGGATGATCCACCAGTGGGGTGAGCACAGCGGTGAAGATCTGGTCCTTCACAGGAGTCGCCACCAAATCTGGTGGATCCTGTTACAACTACGCATTGCAGCATGCTCTCAGGTCGGGTGACTCCTGCTGCAAGAGACGACAGGACCGCTCAACATGAACTTCACATATGATTGAACATGCCTTCAGCACAGACGATCGCTCGTACCCAGAAATCGAAGTAGTGGGCGCTTCGAGACGAAAGGAACAAAAAGGGGCGGTAATGAATCAGAGACAGCAACAAGCTGCATCAAGAAAACTCGATCAACGATTGCACTCTCGGTTAATCGTTTTCTTCAGAGAGCCTCAACGCTTCTGCAGTCAGGATTAGCAAAAGGTACTGTACTTCTATGGCTTTCGGCCCTCCGGCCTCGTCGGTGGTCTTGCTGACCTGTCGAAGATTCACCGAAGCTCTGCTATTTCCATAGCGTGAGTACAGGTACATAAGTACGAGTGCAAATACACATATGAATGTTTGAGTATTCGGAGCTCAGAGGAGGGCGGATCCCACACATTGACATGCGCTGTGCAGGCAAGTGCAGGCAGGTCACCAGGATGGAATGTCCGATCGAGTCCAGCCAATGCCTGAACGGCGGTCGCTCTCAAACGCTGCTTTTTTTTTGCTATTCTACTAGCTGGAACTCAAGCCCCCAACCCGCGAAGCAGCTGTGGAACGGGGTCCGCCGAAACAGCTGCCACCATCGCCAGTTAAAGCCTTCGAAACAAAAATTGCGAGTGCGACAATGTGCGAAGCTGCATTTAAAGGTTCCTGGACCTGGATGGCCGCCGGCGCGACCTCATCGGCCTGAGGGCACCGAGATTTTCCGTGGTGCACAATGCGGCTCTGCGCCCGAGCAAAGGCCCCGGGCTGGAAGAACCCAGCCGCGAAGCCGCGGCCTGTGGGCCCGCAGTGAAGCAAAACGGCACGATTCCAGTTCGTTCGCGAACCTGGTCCACGCCGCAGTCGCTAGATTGCCGCCCTGGCCCCATCCCCCAGGGCTTGAGCCATACTGCGGGCAGAGGCAATCTCGGCATAAGCCTGTGTGCATGTGCGTGCTGCAGCATGGCTTTGCTGACACCCAATCCATCATGGAACAAAATATGGATCCCATGTCTCACACAAGTCTTCAATAATTTTCACATATTTCACTTTCGCACATATGCTTCAGGCTGCGACACAACAACAGTCAGCGCCTGTGTGCACCCTGCCACCGGGCACTTGTCGTTTCCAAAAAAAAAGTGCCAGGTCTTTCCCATCATGGGCCCGATACCCGTCCGTTTCTCGCGATCCCCACAAAGATCCTAACTTCACAGATCCGGAACAAGTTTTCGGGCTTGTGGGCAAAAATAAGCTTTTGTGCCGTTGTCAATGCAGTCGGTGTTGAGGATTGGGGTTTTCGGGTTTTGTGGTGGCTCCAAAAGAACCTCAGCACAGGCTTTTTGGACCTTGCAAGCAACGCGAAACCTGTTCAGAGCCCTAAGCGGAACCCCAAACGGAACACTAAATGGAACCCTAAAAGCAACCCTAACAGAACCTGAAGGGAACCCTAAACACAATAAATCAGCAACAAAAACTACGAGCAGCCCAGGTGTGTGCCCAGAAATAGTAATGGTTTTCATGCTACAAATTGTATCTGTCTTAGATTATAAACGACATACTCGTAGTAATACAAGTACTTGGTCCTCTTCACGACTTGTCCCACTGGCATAAATCCGCTCCCTGCCCGCCTGCCGCCCACCCGCCCGCCCGCACTCCTCTCACACTCTCTCTCAGTCAAGCTCTCGCACTCTCACAGTTTCAAGTCTCACAGTCACTTACGTCCGCACTCCCTCACACGTAAGATGCAGAGGCAACGGGAGAGGCCCTACAGGCAGAAATCTCCTTTCTCCTTGCGTCCCCGGATCTTGCCCTTAGCCCTTGGGCCCCTGGGCATCACTTGGACTCCGCTTCGAAGGTCGCCTCAGCTGGAATCAAACCGAAAAACTACCCTCACTTCGCATCAAAGACCCATCACGAGTCACGAGCGGTCACGAGTGGTCAAGAGTGACAATTCCTGTTGCTCGTCGTGGTGTGTGCCTTTTCTCACTGTTGTCATTGGAGCTCGCGCCAAGTCGCGGCATTTGCAATCAGCCAGGTCCGCAGCAGCTGCAGTGCTCGACCACGATGGGAGATCGCGTTCTTGGCCTCCTTCCTGGGCCAAGTCGTCGAGGCTTTCAAAGGCTCTCTACCTGCTTCTAAATCACTTTCAACAAGACTTCTGCTTCGGCTTTGGCCTGCACAAGCCACAAGGCACGAGTAGGCACCACAGATAGCAACTGGGCCATCACAAGGTGGGCACTACAGAGCAGATGAAGACAACGCAAAGCGACAACAAACAGGATCGCGAAAAAGCTACACAGCCGACGCTCCAAACAAGAAGTTTGAACATGCCGAATGCAACACGACAAATAATTAGGATAGTTGCAGAGCTACGAAGCCTGCGCACAATTCTGCACAAGCCAGGACGACAGCAAAGAAAGAAGAACAGCCGCAAAATGCACACTGCACGACAAAGGGGATGGCAAGCCTCCCAAATCCCGCAAGAAGTAATAAGTAGCACCCGAAGCCAGCAAGGGAAGACGATTGTCAGACGATACAAGCAGGCAACGCACAGAAAAGCCATGCAGACACGACAAGGCTACGACACAGAAGCTGCGAACAGGACAGTGACAGGCGTGTAAAGATGCTTGAAAGAAGGCAGCTGGGCGTCGCCATCTCGGCGAAGGTCTTTCCCTCGCCTTCCAAGGGCTCGAAGACCGGATCCCAACCGAAGTCCTAGAAGTGGAAGTGCAGGCAGCGGCAGAACAGAAAAAGCTGGGATCTCTCTGGGCACTGCAGTGGGCGCTGCTGTCCTTGGGGCCTCGGGCCTCCACGATCTTGCCCTCTGTGCGGCCGTCGAAGACGCGCACCTCCTTGCCCGGGCCGGCGCAGAGCGTGAAGAGGCACTGCGCCTCGTTGCTGGTTGCTGTCGCAACCCGGCCGCGAAAAAGCTCTGCATGGATGCATCCAAGTCACGTAGGCCGATTTGTCCTCGCAAGAACCGAGCTCTGCAGTGGCACTCAAAAAAAAAACAAAGCGAGCGCTACGTGCACGTGCGCCTCGTAGCCGGCAAGCAGCTTGTTGAGCCCTTCATGGCCCAACTTCTCCAGGAACCACTTGATGTATGGACCTCGCAACCCGCTGCCCTTTACGAGCACCACCATGATAGCAGTGACCTGACCGCTTGGCTGTCTGGCCTGGGAGATCTTTGAGTGCATGGTAGCACAAGGAGGTGTCCTCGCACATCACGGGCCCTTTCACGTGCTCCTGGGCTTGGACTTGGGCCATGTTGGACCAGCATTACTGACAGGGTGAATAATTACAACATTGCAATGCCGGACCGGCGCAAGTGTGCCGAGCGACCGCAGCGAGGCGGCATTTTTCCACCGCGATATCCTGGGACTTGCCGAAACGATTACCGGCAGGCAATATCAGATTCTCCCAAGACCGTCTGCACTCCCCGCGCCGGGCGCTCCTTCGCGCTCGATCCCTGCAGCTCGGGCAAGTCGACCTGTCCATGGCCCTCCGGGCTCTCACTGCAAAACGCGAGCAGTGCGTGGAGCCTTCTGCGACGTGACCTCGAAAGGGAGCTCCTCCGATCCCGAGGACAAGATGTGCTTCACCTGGAACTCCGGCACTTGTGAGGAAGGATGAAGCCGGGAGGGTCACGGTCACTGCCTCCTCCAGCTTCTTCGCATTTCCGGTGACGAAGACGATGGCTTGCGGCATCGGGCGCTTGGGCATCGCCCTGGGCAAGCTCTGGAAAATGGCTTCTTGCTGGCCTTACTTCCCATTACATTGCGGCATTATATCGTGCTGTCACTGTCTGCTCGACACGAAGCTACGCAGACGAAGCATTCTTGGAACTCGTGTCAGGAGCTTGCTACGCATGTACTAGAGCTCTGAGCCTGTCCACGCAACACACGCAACAATGCCTTCTCTCACTTGTGAACACTTCATTCAGCGCCAACAGAAGCTCTGTCGCTCAAGAAGGGAAGTGTGGGAGGAGCAGTCGCCGTCACGACATCCACAGACAGGGCGAGCAGCCGCGACGGCAGCAGCATGGTGCGGAAAGCAGCAGAGTGAACAATCATTGTGATACTTCGGACAAGAGGCATTCACGTTGCTCGCATGCTTCGTGGATTGCACAGCATCGAAGCTCATATTCTGATGCTAGTAGTTCCAGTCACAACTCAGACCACTTTAGCTCATTTGCTACAAGTACAACACCATTCATCGGGCCTCGCCACGCTGGCGAAGGCTGGAAGGCTCAGGCCAAACGCAAGCACGGCATGGGCCAACTTGCGACACCGAAGGCCCATCCGCATGCTTTCGGGCCAAACTCCCAAGCATCAAATCTGAAAGCACTCGAAATGTTGTTCACAGGCACAGGTCTCACCAAACATCATGATGCCGAGATCGAGCCCACGTAGTTGAGAACGCAGCTCGTCCTCCCTCCCTTTTGACTCAAGAACCCCTGACAGATTTTGTCATCACCTGTTTCCACTGAGGGTCGATAAGGCTACTTCCCAACAAAGGACACAAAATTGTTCCTGTAGATACTGGGCAGGCCAGTCGAGAAAATTCTGCGTCCATAATAATGAAAACAGTAACGGTGCTACGAACAATAATGCTGAAAATACTAACAGTAGCAACAATACAATACTCATAATACTGACAATGCCAATAATACAATAAAAAACAAGTAAAGGCATAAATAAGATTACGAAGGAAAAGAAGAATAACAATGATAGCAATGGTAGATAAACACAATAACAAGAACATTAACACTATGAGAATAAGCGATAACAAGAAGAAGAAGAAGAGATCTTGTTGAATCCGAAATACTACTGCAGGATATGAAAGACAATGAAATGGTGCGGGAACTTCTGCGGTCTCGGCCTCGAAAGTCCTAGAAACTGCGGATTGCATATCTTTGCCCCAGGAAGATCTTCCTACAGGAAATTGAAAATTGCCTACGACGTTGTCACTGATACCCAACATGGATGTTGTTGTCGAACTCCCTTAAGCCATACAGTAGGCCACGGTCGCCATCGCGCCGGCAACCCCCACAAGCAACTTTTAAGGCGAAGCAGAAGAAGCAAACGAGACAAGTGTTCAGTACTACAGGAGTCAGCTTGCATGATAAGCTCAATGATCTCCAAAGTCATGCAAATGCCTCTGCTTGCTCGTTTGTTGATTCTGTCGCTCCTTCCTTCGCGGCTGTCTGCATGCCGGGCTCGATACTGGCGGCTAAGCACTGCCTGCTCTTTTCTCCACACGGAATGGCGCAGCATGGGAGTGGCGGCCCCGGAACGGGCTGATCGGATCGCTGGCAAGCAAGCTTCGCTCGTTCGTTCTCCATGCAGTGCTTTGCAGTCTCAGCAGTAGGCGAGCCGAAACCTGTCTGCCCCCACGTCGTTAACGGGTCTCAGCCCGGGGTGACACATGGAAAGTCTCGTTCTATGTACACCTGGACAGCCGGAGTACAGGTCTGTTCTATGAAACATGCAACCTCGCAAGTCTGATGCAAATGCTGGACTTCCGGCTCCAGGGGCTGCAAGTAAGAAAGCCGTTGCGGCGTCGAGCAACGAGATGAAGAAAGCCGGAAAGGGCCTGTGCATTCATCCTCCTCTCTTGTAAAGCTTGGTACTTTGAAGTAAGAACACAAACATATCAGCTCACTGTCCCACAGGGTGCCACGTCTCGTGGGCACGAGCGGAAAAGCCAGTGTAGAACGGCCCAAGCACTAGGGCCCAACCCGTCTGCATGGTCAGTGAGTCAGGCATGCATCATGGGAAAGTGCTGCATAATGTTCGCAGCATCACAACTTCCCCCGCCCCGATCACTGACACTGATGATGACAGAAATCGATGCTCGCCAAATTAACACAAGCTCCAAGCTGTTGCTTAATTCAGCATCAGATTCACCAGGTCCGACGAAGTTTCATCACAAGGTGAATTCACTTGGAGCTCTTTGCAACCTCAGACAAGCCGCATATGTGTCCCAGCTCTTAGCCCTTTTCAAGAGCAGCAATGGAAACTAATGATAACGACGACGACGACGACGATGATGATGATGATGATGAGAGTGAGAAGTACAGCGAAATCACAGGTTCGAATACTCAACAACTAAACAACCCAGCAAGAAATAGTCAAGTACAAATGGGTATTAGCAAGTGCCCCATAAACTCGCAGTAACAGGTAAGACTGGTAGATGACAACGAATAACCACACATGGATAGGTATCAGTACATAGCAAGCATCGAACAGAACAACTAACTGTAGCAATGAAAAGCTCAGCAAACAACAACAATCAGAACAATGGCAAGAGTAACAACACTGCTGTACCACGTCGTATGACCTTGGTTGACCGAGGAGACTGCCGGCGTCCAATTCATCTTCGACTTGAGCTCGGCAGTTGAGGTCTGAGACTTTCCTGTGAGGGTTTCGGAATCTGTCGAGGTTAGTGTGAACAGTATAATCAACAGTATCATGACAATCTCTGTATTGTAACATGACACAACATACATAGTTCAGTACATTCAGCAACCAAACAGTGTTCATGCTCTTCTCATGTGCCGTGTCTCTGGTGAGCCTCTTCCACTGCCCTTGCCTTTTCCGTCGGCTTTGCCTTTCTGGTGTCCTCGCCTCAGCCAAGCAATAAAGAGAGGCCGACGTCTTGTTTGTCGAATTTGTGCTGAGGTTGTCGCGTGTTGGCAGCCTCGCACATGAGCACTTCGGAAAACGCGGGAACCCAGTTCTAGATTCTAGACCTTACAATAGGTGGTACACTGATGCTCTTCACAAGGAAGACAAGGTACCCTGAGTTCAAGAACCCCCCCCCCACAGGGCTCTGCCATGCTCACTGCAGATCCAGGCCTTGGGAGCCTTCTGGGAGCATGCGCTCCTGGAAAATGCCAGGGCATCAAGTGCACACATGATGCGGTACTGTTGCGCGGTGCTGATGGTGGTCTTGAGGGTCTTGCTATGGTGATCATCGTCATTGTCGTCGCCAGTGTAATCATCAGTATCCCAAGAGGGCAACACTACGAAGGTCTTGCATTCAACGTTCCTTTAGCCACGGCTAGTGATGAGGCGAGGCGCCCCTGCTGGGCGGCGGTTGTTTCAACCGTACGGGATAGCGACATCATTGATATGGGGCGCTTTCGCGTGGAAATCGCTCTCCTGCTACCAGTTTCCATGCTCGTTTTGGGCTTCTCATCGCTACAAGCCTCGCAGGGCCACACTGTTCGAGCTCCCTGGTGAGGTCTCGACAATCCGACTCTCTGAGGAATTTCGGAATTCGGCGAAATGCCCGTCTGAGTTCCTTGTTTACTTCGGGTTGCGCCTCGTGTTTTTGGACTTGGGGCTGTCTTTTTTGAACTCTCAAACGTAATCCTGAAGTGGATCGTGGGTACCTACTGTGCTATGTCAGATGCTCTTTCAATGTTTCAGGTCCATGCTGGCGCAGTTCTGGGTACGTACAGCTACTCAGGAGGTAGCATAAGGCGATGGGAGGTGGGAAGAAGCCTGCTCTTTCATTGACTCGCAACAATGCCGAAACAAATCCCCTCATGCTCCGACCTGTGCCAGGGGGCTGCGATTCAAGTGCTTACGACGGAACAAGAGCTCAAAAACTGCTACATCTGGAAACCAGACACTGCCTCGCCCAGTAGCCCAAGACCTGCTGAGACAAAACAGCAACGGACTGGGTCGACCCACTTCTCGGAAGTCTTTTCGCCCACTTCCTGCGCCTGCCAGCAAATCAGAACTTAGGATGGCTGTTAAGGTGATTTCGAAATTCAAGAGTTTAGGATGATTTGTTTGTTGCACTCGCACTCGTTAGGATGATTTAGGGATTGTTAAATGGTTTTGGAGCCTCACTCGCGGACAGTCTCTCGGGTTTGGGGCAAGCAAGCAAACCAGTCAGCGGAAGAAGTACACTAAGACGGTCTAAGGAGTTTGGGTGCTAGGGGTTCGAGTCCACATCAATTAACAGGTCACAGGCAGCCCCACGCTGTTTCGCAAAGATGCGTTGTATGGAAGCCCAATATTTTGAAAATGCATGCTTCCACGCAACATCTCACTCCGATGCCTCGTACTGGCGGGCTGCGCCTGGTCATCAACCGACGGTTTCTGATTTCGACGGGGTGGCCAACCAACTCCCAGTAAGCTCGCCACGCTTTCCCTTCCCACCCGTCTTCGTCCTGGCAAGCAGGTGCAATTGTGCCCAAACGCTTGCCGTCAAGAAGCCCTCGTTGCTGCCTTCCCCATTGCGGAGGCTTGGGCTGTCGCTCGCTCCTAGCGAGAAGTTTCACGGGATGACGCTGATGATCGAAGTTGTAGCTGAGGCGGTCACCAATAAGTCTGGGACTCCTCGAGCCACCGCTCGCAACGATAATGCTGTTTGCATGCTTCCTCGCATGCTGCAACATGGAAGAAAAGGCCTCGCCGGAGTTTGAAGTCCACCACGACTCCTGCGCAGCGGCTCCAGTCTCATGTACATGATTCTACTCATCACCACTTGCTTCCGGGGTGCAGCACCGTTCCAGCCGGCCTTTGCAAACGGCAAGGGTCACTGTCAGAACCACATGTCGATGTTGCACGCAGCCTTGAAAGCCTGCCGAGTTGCCCAGTCGTGTTTGCCAGAAGTCTTGCCCTGATGCGTCTCGCTTTGATGATTAACAGAGACTTGCAAACTCACTTCTGCTGACCTGCCTTGCCCTTGTATTTGCCTCTGGGCTGGTCTGGCCACTCGTTCTCATCGTAGCAGCCGTAGTAGGCATCGCCTAACATTGCCACACCACAGTCTTTCCCGTCTGTAGTGCATTGGTCTTTATGTCCACTGCAGCTGGAAAGCTGCCCCACCATCTGCCTTGGCCACGTCCTGCAGCTAGCAAGGTGTCGCAGCGAGATTGTAGATTGTAACATGTTGTCACAAGCTCCGAAAGCAGCTTCTCCTTTGTTGTTGCTGCTCCATTGCTCCGCCTTTGGCTGCTTGGTGCCTGCAGCTTATGCAGTTGAGGCCGGCACGCAACAGCTACATGTAGCTTGGGTTCTGGCTGCGTGTTCCAGCCTTCGCCTGATGTAGCTTAAAACAAGCATGCCTTTGCTTGCTCTGCTGACGCTTTGCACCACTACGAGTACCTGTTGGAGGGACGCCAATCCCGCCCTGCCGTTCTCGGACAAGTCGGCGGGTGGTTTGCCTTCGCGGTGGGGACATGTCTCATATTGTGTCATCATGCCTTGGGGCCAGCCTCTTGCACGGTCGCCATCCAGCTGCTCTAGGAGAATTTCACCGGGGTCCTACAGGAAAGACCGCTCAAACTCCAAACTTTTCAAAGCCTCAAAAGTTCAATCTCAAAAGTTCTCGAAGTCCCGACTCCTTCAAACTCGAAAGGATCGGGACACGATTCCAACAGGAAGGCACAGCAGGGCAGTCCAGCTGGCCGGAATCGGGCTGCGGATAAGTCACACCTGACCCTGAAACCTAGCTCGGCTTAGGCTTGACAGCCCCCTCAGTGGCAGAGCCTCCTCCAGCAACTCGCTCCAAAAGCGCACTCGGCCAGTGATCCTCTCAAGTGAGGCTCGTAGACACGATAGCCATGCAAGCATTCCGGTATCGTCGCATCTTCGATGCTAGGACTCGGACCACGGTTCTTGGCAATCTGGTCCTGCAGTGCCCGAAGGCTGTCGAGTGCTCGAGTGCAGACCCATTCGCTGCTGGGCACCCGGCCCTTGGGATCGATTGGAATGCCTGCAGCCTGGTGGTTGCCAAGTACGGACGCTCACTGGAGTCCGAGCTAACTCATTCATTTGATAGCGCAAATGGTTGATGAGCATTCTTTGCGCCTGCAGAAGTTGACAGACGAGCTGCACGGTATACATGTCAGTGCATCACCAAATACCACCTACAGTCATTATGGGCCAGCAACATGAGATTGGTCACGGTTGTTCTAGCTACAGCACTTTCGCGGCTCAAGCAACACTCCCACTCTTCCTATGCCGACTCTGCGCGTGCCGCCTCGACGGCCTGATCGGATCGGCCCCCCGGCACCCCGGAACCCCGAACTCCACGCCCTGGAACCCCGATCTTTATCCCTGCCAATACTTGGATGTGCAGGCTGAAAAAAGGGCTGCGGATGCAAAGCAAATTCACACAGGCAGCCTTGGCTTCTTCGGGGATGCGGCGGCCTCAATGCCACCACTTGCCAATAACGTCCGCGCACCAGTCAGTGTTGCACGCGCGCGCACACACTCACTGACTTGATAGGCGTCTGAGGGCCCAACCCTCTCGACCAGAAGCAATGCCTTGTGCTGCATTGGCCTGCCAAAGGCTGAGATGCCCTACCAGTCACGACAGTGGCTACATGCGTTAAACAATTTGCGTAAGTCCAGGTCGCTTGCCCCCGTAAGGACAAGCGCGCTAGACCACAGCCTCGTGAGAACCGAGTACTTGCCACCTGACAGCGGCTCGTAACCGGCAAGGCCAGATCTAACGTCTGTCCGGCTTTGAGATGAAGCTGAATGCACATCACGAGCAAGCACTCGACTAGCTGGCCAAAAGCGTCAACATACATACAGAGTGGACACTTAACTGGAACCAGGGCTCCGCGGCCTCCACACTCGGTTCAGGCCTCAGTCCGTCCAGATCAACAAGATAACTGGCGCTGCACGGCGCAATCCACAAAGTCTAGTCTTGGTTCTGTCCCATTTGCTGACGTCGTTGATCATGGCAGCTCCGACCTCTTTTCTTGGGATTCTGAAGCGGCCTGTGCCCGCTTCCCCTTCACTACAGGATCAATACGTGTTCAACACAGGGAGGTGGGAGTTGGGGAGGTGGGGGCAAGCACGCTCACGAGGACTATTCAGTACTAAGTCTTACAAGTATTCGTAGTACCGTTGCCATCGCAGGCTCAAGTTTAGGAATATTGATCCCGGGATTTAGCATCTGGTCATTGCACAGGGCATATTGGGGTATCTTTCCCGCATAAGCCCGCTTTTCACTTTGCAGTGGTTCTTGGCAGCCATGCAGGGCGCAGTAATGGAGCCGCGGGCGTTTCCAGCTCCGGTGTGAAAAAGCAGTAGCAATCCACAATCCGCAGCCATCAGAATATTCTGGCGTTTTGTGCATCCCCTTCCATCCCTGTTTCCATTGCTGCCGACCGCGGCTTCTTATTGAAATCTCGATGATGCATTTGTCGCATGGCTCACCACAAATCAGTCCTGGTGCCTTGCTGCAGGCCGCATTTGAATGATCCAAATGCCAAGACTCCGGCATGTTCGCCGGGAACACAGGTTTGCCCCCACGTGCCTTCAGGCGACATAGCTCTTTCACCAAGTCTTCGGACCCAAGAAGCACCTCCCACAAAGCGATGAGCTCCTGAACAAGGACCATCGCCTCAGTGCTGTCTTCTTTTAAGCTGGACCACAGAAGCAACGAAAAGCACTGCAGCTACCCAACAACTTTGCTGAGGGACCAGCACAACCACAGAAAAGGCCGAGGGCGCTACTTCGAAGGCAAAAGATGCTGCAGCGGATAGCTCGTGCTCTGTTTTCCGCACTTCCTAATTTTGCAACCTTTTGCAAGCTCAAGGCGGGCGCCTTCGCCCCCCCTTCGTAATAGCTTTGAACCCCGGATCCGGCGTGAGCGCGTGCCTTTGGAGCTGACGGTTGATAAAGTCATAAATAGGACTCCGAAGGAAAAGAAGAATAACAATGATAGCAATGGTAGATAAACACAATAACAAGAACAATGATAGTATATGAGAATAAGCGATAACAAGAAGAAGAAGAGATCTTGTTGAATCCGAAATACTATTGCAGGATATGTAAGGCAATAAAATGGTGCGGGAACTTCTGCGGTCTCGGCCTCGAAAGTCCTAGAAACTGCGGATTGCATATCTTTGCCCCAGGGAGATCTTCCTACAGGAATTTGAAAATTGCCTACGACTCAAGGATCGGCTTCGAACTCCTGGCAGCGCTGGTTGTCACTGATACCCAACATGGATGTTTTTTGTCGAACTCCCTTAAGCCACACAGTAGGCCACGGTCGCCATCGCGCTGGCAACCCCCACAAGCAACGTTTAAGGTGAGGCAGAAGAAGCAAACGAGGCAAGTGTTCAGTACTACAGGAGTCAGCTTGCATGATAAGCTCAATGATCTCCAAAGTCACGCAAACGCCTCTGCTTGCTCGTTTGTTGATTCTGTCGCTCCTTCCTTCGCGGCTGTCTGCATGCCGGGCTCGATACTGGCTAAGCACTGCCTGCTCTTTTCTCCACACGGAATGGCGCAGCATGTGAGTGGCGGCCCCGGAACGGGCTGATCGGATCGCTGGCAAGCAAGCTTCGCTCGCGCTTTGCAGAGTCTCGGCAGTAGGCGAGCCGAAACCTGTTTGCCCCACGTCGTTAACGGGTCTCAGCCCGGGGTGACACATGGAAAGTCTCGTTCTATGTACACCTGGACAGCCGGAGTCCAGGTCTGTTCTATGAAACATGCAACCTCACAAGTCTGACCGCTGAACTCAGCACCATGCAAATGCTGGACTTCCGGCTCCAGGGGCTGCAAGTAAGAAAGCCGTTGCCGCGTCGAGCAACGAGATGAAGAAAGCCGGAAAGGGCCTGTGCATTCATCCTCCTGTCTTGTAAAGCTTGATACTTTGAAGAAGTAAGAACACAAACATATCAGCTCACTGTCCCACAGGGTGCCACGTCTCGTGGGCACGAGCGGAAAAGCCAGTGTAGAACGGCCCAAGCACTAGGGCCCAACCCTTCTGCATGGTCAGTGAGTCAGGCATGCATTATAAAGTGCTGCATAATGGTCGTAGCATCACAACTTCCCCAGCCACTGACACTGATGATGACAGAAATCGACGCTCGCCAAAGTAGCACAAAGCTCCGCGCTTGCTTAGTTCAGCATCAGATTCACCAGGTCCGACGAAGTTTCATCACAAGGTGAATTCACTTGGAGCTCTTTGCAACCTCAGACAAGCCGCATATGTGTCCCAGCTCTTAGCCCTTTTCAAGAGCAGCAATGGAAACTAATGATAACGACGACGACAACGATGATGATGATGATGAGAGTGAGAAGTACAGCGAAATCACAGTTTCGAATACTCAACAACTAAACAACCAAGCAAGAAATAGTCAAGTACACATTTGTATTAACAAGTGCCCAATAAACTCGCAGTAAAGGGCAAGACTGGTAGATGTCAACGAATAACCATACATGGAGAGGTATCAGTACATAGCTAGCAAGCATCGAACAGAACAACTAACTGTAGCAATGAAAAACTCAGCAAACAACAACAGTCAGAACAATGGCAAGAGTAACAACACTGCTGCACCACGTCGTATATCCTTGGTTGACCGAGGAGACTGCCGGCGTCCAACTCATCTTCGACTTGAGCTCGGCAGTTGAGGTCTGCGACTTTCCTGCGAGGGTTTCGGAATCTGTCGAGGTTAGTGTGAACAATATGATCAACAGTATAATGACAGTCTCTGCATTGTAACATGATACAACATACATAGTTCAGTACATTCAGCAATCAAACAGAGTTCATGCTCTTCTCATGTGCCGTGTCTCTGGTGAGCCTCTTCCACTGCCCTTGCCTTTTCCATCAGCTTTGCCTTTCTGGTGTCCTCGCCTCAGCCAAGCAATAAGGAAAGACAGGCCGACGTCCCATTCCGTTCTGTGTCGAATTTGTGCTGAGGTTGTCGCGCGTTGGCAGCCTCGCACATGAGCACTTCGGAACATGCGGGGACCCAGTTCTAGATTCTAGAGCTTACAATAGGTGGTACACTGATGCTCTTCACAAGGAAGACAAGGTACCCTGAGTTCAAGAACCACCCCCCCACAGGGCTCTGCCATGCTCACTGCAGATCCAGGCCTTGGGAGCCTTCTGGGAGCATGCGCTCCTGGAAAATGCCAGGGCATCAAGTGCACACATGATGCGGTACTGTTGCGCGCTGCTGATGGTGGTCTTGAAGGTCTTGCTATGGTGATCATCGTCATTGTCGTCGCCAGTGTAATCATCAGTATCCCAAGAGGGCAACACTACGAAGGTCTTGCATTCAACGTTCCTTTAGCCACGGCTAGTGATGAGGCGAGGCGCCCCTGCTGGGCGCCGGCGGCGGTTGTTTCAACCGTACGGGATAGCGACATCATTGATATGGGGCGCTTTCGCGTGGAAAACGCTCTCCTGCTACCAGTTTCCATGCTCGTTTTGGGCTTCTGGTCGCTACAAGCCTCGCAGGGCCACACTGTTCGAGCTCCCTGGCGAGGTCTCGACAATCCGACTCTCTGAGGAATTTCGGAATTCGGCGAAATGCCCGTCTGAGTTCCTTGTTTACTTCGGGTTGCGCCTCGTGTTTTTGGACTTGGGGCTGTCTTTTTTGAACTCTCAAACGTAATCCTGAAGTGGATCGTGGGTACCTACTGCGCTATGTCAGATGCTCTTTCAATGTTTCAGGTCCATGCTGGCGCAGTTCTGGGTACGTACAGCTACTCAGGAGGTAGCATAAGGCGATGGGCGGGAAGAAGCCTGCTCTTTCATTGACTCGCAACAATGCCGAAACAAATCCCCTGACGGAACAAGAGCTCAAAAACTGCTACATCTGGAAACCAGACACTGCCTAGCCCAGTAGCCCAAGACCTGCTGAGACAAAACAGCAACGGACTGGGTCGACCCACTTCTCGGAAGTCTTTTCGCCCACTTCCTGTGCCTGCCAGCAAATCAGAACTTAGGATGGCTGTTAAGGTGATTTCGAAATTCAAGAGTTTAGGATGATTTGTTTGTTGCACTCGCACTCGTTAGGATGATTTAGGGATTGTTAAATGGTTTTGGAGCCTCACTCGCGGACAGTCTCTCGGGTTTGGGTCAAGCAAGCAAACCAGTCAGCCGAAGAAGTACACTAAGACGGTCTAAGGAGTTTGGGTGCTAGGGGTTCGAGTCCACATCAATTAACAGGTCACAGGCAGCCCCACGCTGTTTCGCAAAGATGCGTTGTATGGAAGCCCAATATTTTGAAAATGCATGCTTCCACGCAACATCTCACTCCGATGCCTCGTACTGGCGGGCTGCGCCTGGTCATCAACCGACGGTTTCTGATTTCGACGGGGTGGCCAACCAACTCCCAGTAAGCTCGCCACGCTTTCCCTTCCCACCCGTCTTCGTCCTGGCAAGCAGGTGCAATTGTGCCCAAACGCTTGCCGTCAAGAAGCCCTCGTTGCTGCCTTCCCCATTGCGAAGGCTTGGGCTGTCGCTCGCTCCTAGCGAGAAGTTTCACGGGATGACGCTGATGATCGAAGTTGTAGCTGAGGCGGTCACCAATAAGTCTGGGACTCCTCGAGCCACCGCTCGCAACGATAATGCTGTTTGCATGCTTCCTCGCATGCTGCAACATGGAAGAAAAGGCCTCGCCGGAGTTTGAAGTCCACCACGACTCCTGCGCAGCGGCTCCAGTCTCATGTACATGATTCTACTCATCACCACTTGCTTCCGGGGTGCAGCACCGTTCCAGCCGGCCTTTGCAAACGGCAAGGGTCACTGTCAGAACCACATGTCGATGTTGCACGCAGCCTTGAAAACCTGCCGAGTTGCCCAGTCGTGTTTGCCAGAAGTCTTGCCCTGATGCGTCTCGCTTTGATGATTAACAGAGATTTGCAAACTCACTTCTGCTGACCTGCCTTGCCCTTGTATTTGCCTCTGGGCTGGTCTGGCCACTCGGTCTCATCGTAGCAGCCGTAGTAGGCATCGCCTAACATTGCCACACCACAGTCTTTCCCGTCTGTAGTGCATTGGTCTTTATGTCCACTGCAGCTGGAGAGCTACCCCACCATCTGCCTTGGCCACGTCCTGCAGCTAGCAAGGTGTCGCAGCGAGATTGTAGATTGTAACATGTTGTCACAAGCTCCGAAAGCAGCTTCTCCTTTGTTGTTGCTGCTCCATTGCTCCGCCTTTGGCTGCTTGGTGCCTGCAGCTTATGCAGTTGAGGCCGGCACGCAACAGCTACATGTATCTTGGGTTCTGGCTGCGTGTTCCAGCCTTCGCCTGATGTAGCTTAAAACAAGCATGCCTTTGCTTGCTCTGCTGACGCTTTGCACCACTACGAGTACCTGTTGGAGGGACGCCATTCCCGCCCTGCCGTTCTCGGACAAGTCGGCGGGTGGTTTGCCTTCGCGGTGGGGACATGTCTCATATTGTGTCATCATGCCTTGGGGCCAGCCTCTTGCACGGTCGCCATCCAGCTGCTCTAGGAGAATTTCACCGGGGTCCTACAGGAAAGACCGCTCAAACTCCAAACTTTTCAAAGCCTCAAAAGTTCAATCTCAAAAGTTCTCGAAGTCCCGACTCCTTCAAACTCGAAAGGATCGGGACACGATTCCAACAGGAAGGCACAGCAGGGCAGTCCAGCTGGCCGGAATCGGGCTGCGGATAAGTCACACCTGACCCTGAAACCTAGCTCGGCTTAGGCTTGACAGCCCCCTCAGTGGCAGAGCCTCCTCCAGCAACTCGCTCCAAAAGCGCACTCGGCCAGTGATCCTCTCAAGTGAGGCTCGTAGACACGATAGCCATGCAAGCATTCCGGTATCGTCGCATCTTCGATGCTAGGACTCGGACCACGGTTCTTGGCAATCTGGTCCTGCAGTGCCCGAAGGCTGTCGAGTGCTCGAGTGCAGACCCATTCGCTGCTGGGCACCCGGCCCTTGGGATCGATTGGAATGCCTGCAGGAGCCTGGTGGTTGCCAAGTACGGACGCTCGCTGGAGTCCGAGCTAACTCATTCATTTGATAGCGCAAATGGTTGATGAGCATTCTTTGCGCCTGCAGAAGTTGACAGACGAGCTGCACGGTATACATGTCAGTGCATCACCAAATACCACCTACAGTCATTATGGGCCAGCAACATGAGATTGGTCACGGTTGTTCTAGCTACAGCACTTTCGCGGCTCAAACAACACTTCCACTCTTCCTATGCCGACTCTGCGCGTGCCGCCTCGACGGCCTGATCGCATCGGTTTCCCGGCACCCCGGAACCCCGAACTCCACGCCCTGGAACCCCGATCTTTATCCCTGCCGATACTTGGATGTGCAGGCTGAAAAAAGGGCTGCGGATGCAAAGCAAATTCACACAGGCAGCCTTGGCTTCTTCGGGGATGCGGCGGCCTCAATGCCACCACTTGCCAATAACGTCCGCGCACCAGTCAGTGTTGCACGCGCGCGCACACACTCACTGACTTTGATAGGCGTCTGAGGTCCCAACCCTCTCGACCAGAAGCAATGCCTTGTGCTGCATTGGCCTGCCAAAGGCTGAGATGCCCTACCAGTCACGACAGCGGGCTACATGCGTTAAACAATTTGCGTAAGTCCAGGTCGCTTGCCCCCGTAAGGACAAGCGCGCTAGACCACAGCCTCGTGAGAACCGAGTACTTGCCACCTGACAGCGGCTCGTGTGCGCGCACGAAAAGGGGGCAGCGTCCACGCCCCGCAGAGCCGTGGAAACTACCCGGCCTCTGCGCGAATCCTGGAAGCGGAAGCAGCAAGCAGCACATGTCTAGAACATGGGTGCAGTCTGCTGGTGACCACTTTTCCCCAGCTCAGCCTTTGCGCCATGGCGCTCACATGACTCCCGTCTCCTCCCTTGCCTATTCATGAAGCTGAAATGCACCATGCGCTGCGTGTCAACACATGCCAATCCATCATTCAGGAATTCCCATGCCTCGCCTTCCTCACGGCCTTCTGTTCAGTCGCCAGACTTTCCATGCGTTGCCGGATTTCCATGACGAGCGGTTCGGAGTTCGGATAGGCACGCCCGCGCTGCGTTTTGTTCTGCCTCCTTCTGGCCGACGCCAGCTCCAACAAACTGGCCGATGCCAAGCCCAAACAATCTCGCATCAGTCAGTTTCAGAGTGCTAACAAACGTGGTCCCACTCCGCTCAGTCACATAAGTCCGAAGTGGTTTCGGGTTCGATACGTGTGCAACACGCAAGAGCAACTTGTCAAGGGCCTCCTTAGAGGTTGACTGATCGTCTCCCTTCGGCTCCCGCTTCTTTTCTTTGAACTCCTGGGATTCTTGGGCCTTCTCCTCCTTGACTCCACAAGGCGGTGAAGATTTCAGCTGATCACAGGAAGTTGACATGGCTCATACTTCCCTGCTGACTTTGTGGATTGCGCCGTGCAGCGCCAGTTATCTTGTTGATCTGGACGGACTGAGGCCTGAACCGAGTGTGGAGGCCGCGGAGCCCTGGTTCCAGTTAAGTGTCCACTCTGTATGTATGTTGACGCTTTTGGCCAGCTAGTCGAGTGCTTGCTCGTGATGTGCATTCAGCTTCATCTCAAAGCCGGACAGACGTGAGATCTGGCCTTGCCTAGTCTTGGTTCTGTCCCATTTGCTGACGTCGTTGATCATGGCAGCTCCGACCTCTTTTCTTGGGATTCTGAAGCGGCCTGTGCCCGCTTCCCCTTCACTACAGGATCAATACGTGTTCAACACAGGGGTGGGAGTTGGGGAGGTGGGGGCAAGCACGCTCACGAGGACTATTCAGTACTAAGTCTTACAAGTATTCGTAGTACCGTTGCCATCGCAGGCTCAAGTTTAGGAATATTGATCCCGGGATTTAGCATCTGGTCATTGCACAGGGCATATTGGGGTATCTTTCCCGCATAAGCCCGCTTCTCACTTTGCAGTGGTTCTTGGCAGCCATGCAGGGTGCAGTACTGGAGCCGCGCGCGTTTCCAGCTCCGGTGTGAAAAAGCAGTAGCAATCCACAATCCGCAGCCATCAGAATATTCTGGCGTTTTGTGCATCCCTGACCATCCCTGTTTCCATTGCTGCCGACAGCTTATTGAAATCTCGATGATGCATTTGTCGCATGGCTGGCTACAAATCAGTCCTGGTGCCTTGCTGCAGGCCGAGTTTGAATGATCCAAAAGCTAAGACCGCGGCATGTTCGCAGCTGGGAACACCGGTTTGCCCCCACGTGCCTTCAGGCTTCATAGCTCTTTCACCAAGCGGTGGGACCCAAGAAGCACCTCCCACAAAGCGATGAGCTCCTGAACAAAGACCATCGCCTCAGTGCTGTCTTCTTCTAAACTGGACCACATAGGCAACGAAAGGCACTGCAACTACCAAACAACTTTGCTGAGGGACCAGCACAACCACAGAAAAGGCCGAGGGCGCTACTTCGAAGGCTAAAGATGCTGCAGCGGATAGCTCGTGCTCTGTTTTCCGCACTTCCTAATTTTGCAACCTTTTGCAAGCTCAAGGCGGGCGCCTTCGCCCCCCCTTCGTAATAGCTTTGAACCCCGGATCCGGCATGGGTGCATGCCTTTGGAGCTGACGGTTGGTGGGCTGGGACTGGGGGGAGATCGAGCCCTCCAGGAGATCGAGCCCTCCACGAGCCGTTGGATGCTCATGACCCGCCCGCCGCGCGCGTCTGGGCGCCGCAATCACTATGACCTCGCCCTATCTCTGGCCGCTCGCCAGCTCCAATAAGCCTGTCCACAACCCTCCCAGCACAACTCATTGCATCAGTGTGGACCATGAAAAAAATGCACAACACACGGACCACGCTACTTGGTGCTGGCCCTAAGTCGCCATCACTGCCGCCTTTCCGCATGGTGACGCGATTCGATAAAAATGCCGCGACAGCCTTGGGAACATCTGGAGGAGGCACCCGTGATCCGTGTCCCAAACACACATGGCATCCGGCAAGTCCCCATGTAGACGCTCGATTCACACGTTTCTGCAGACACACGCCGCTGGCAAAAAGCTGCATTTCTTCAATACTACAGTGGCATAACGTCCTTCCCAAACATCCCAAAATCGTTCTTCGAGAAAAGACAAAAGCTGGAGCGCTCCCCGAATCTACCGCCACAACTCGCAGCCGCACGTAACCTTGACCTTTTCTGTAGAGCTGAATCCTGCCATTGCAGTGTCTTTGAAAGAAGACCTTGGCAAGCTCAATGATCTCCAAAGCCATGCAAATGCCTCTGCCTGCTCCTGTCGTTTGCCGTCCTTCGCTTCACATCGCTTCTGTTTGTCTGTCTGCGTGCGGGGGGGGGGCTCAGGGACTGGCGAAGCACTGCATGCTCCTTTCTCCGGAACGGGCTGATTGGATCGCTGGCAAGCAGGCTTCGGTCGCTCGTGCAGTCTCCGTGGTAGGCGAGCTGAGAAACCTGTTTGCCCCGCGTCGTTAACGGGTCCCGGCCCGGGGCCGCGACTCACTGAAGCGAGAGAGAGCGAACCTGAAGGCACAGACAGGCAAAAGCATTCGCAAAGCCTGGCGACCGAAAAAAAACAACCGGGCCGCCGGCGCTCTTTCAGCACACAGGAGGCGGCACCGCACTCATGGTGCTGAAGCCGCCAAAGCCGCCAAAGCCTCGCAGACTCGCGCGAGAGTTCCCTCTCCCCATCTGAGCGGTTTCCGCCTCCACCCAGGTGCCGAGTCGACTCGTACTCCCGCGACTCGCGAGGCCTGGGCGGAGCTCTGGGCTCTGAGCCGGAGGGCAGCTCTCCGCGCAGCTTTCTGCGCGCAGCTTTCAAGCCCCGACTCGCGCGACCGAGACCGAGAGGAGCTCGAGGAACTGCTGGAACGGCGGTCCTACAGCTCTGTCTTCTTCTGCACAGCTGAAAGTGCTTTGCAGAAGTCTTTTCGCTTCAACAACAAAGCGGGAATCCGCGCTGTTGAGGCAAGGAGAGACCACTCACTCCTCCACGACCCTCCGTGCCTCCATCGCCGGCAAGGCCTGCGGAGTCATGGCCTCGGGAACGGCAGAGCGCTCTGCCCCCGATGCCGCATGCCGGTGGGGCTCGGCTCGCTGCGGGATCTAGCGGCTTGTGCCTACGGGCAGGCGCAGATGCTCTGATGCTCTTGCGATTGTTGTCGGCCGTTGCAGCTCGCAGGAACAAGCGAAGTGCTCGCTGGCCTCGCGAACCTGCCACCCTGAGCCTGACTGACGCCGGCCTCCCAACCAAGAAAGGCGCTTGCAGCAACTCGAAGTGGATGCTCAAGTAAAAAGACTCTAAGACTCGTTCAGGCCCCAGCCAACATGGATGCCAGGACCCCCACCGGGACCGTCTCCAGCCAGGCCACCAGGCTGCAAGCGAACGCCGTTCCAGTTCTAAGCTTTGCAATTTGCTAGCTGAAGCTCGGAGGCCTCCATGTCCATCGTGATGTGCGATGCTCCGTCAAAGCTTCTTCAAACGGGTCAGCCGGCCGTAGCCGAGATGTCCAACTTCCGTATGTCAGACATCCGGCTTTGGCTTTGAAAGCACACGGAAGGCACGCGAAGACGGAGAAAGCCACATCGCAAGGTCGGGAAGGCCGCGAAGCAGGCGCTCCATCTGGTGCGAAGCCCACAAGTCCACGAGGTCGTGATCGACGCCAGGAAGTCGTCTGTATGCCCAGATCATGAAGTCCAAATTCGCAGCATGTTCTCCTCTCATTTCCGCAGTGGCTGCGGCCGGCACCAAACCTCGGGCACAAGGCGCCACCCTGAGCCCATCTTCCTCCGCTGTTTCCAGAAAAAGCCTTCAATTCCCCGCCGAAGTTGTTGAGACCACATCCGCTTCGCGCCGGCACGTGCGGCGCAGGCAGGACCTTTGCTTTGAGGGATCGGCGTCTGCACGCCGCTGTGCTGCAGTCCAGCCAGGACCTAGCAGAAGCTGCTTCTGGGGAAAGTCGGGAGGGCCGGAAAGCTTTCAACATGCAAGATATGCAAGTAGATTGCAGCGTGATTGGCCTTGCTAGGGACCTGCAAAGCTCTGCACCGACAGCTCGCGCCGGCTTCTGGTAGCCGTGCAGCATGGGCCTTTTCAGACATGCGGCGCGACTTTACGAGAGGGCGAGACCCCGAAGACACTCAGAAACTAGGTAACTAGGTCTGCCACACTGCTGGCATGGCCGCCCCTGCCCAGCGCTTCGGGCAACCGGATCGATTTACCTACATGGGAGATTGCGCGCGGACAGAAGCTCTTCTGTCCGCGGAATCGATGTGAGCAGGCTTACGTAACATCTCACTAAGTCGGCTGATGCTTTCAGGGTGCCCTGCACAACTTGTCTGATGCGCCGGCTGCAAGCCACCATGGACTCTAGGGTCTAGGGCTTTCTTCCACTTTGAGGTTGGAGCTTCGGACTCCGCCATGCAGACCTAGACATCTTCACTTGCAACCTGCAGAAGGGGTTTTGTGGCAAAACGCCAAGCGGGCCGGTGCCACGAAAGGGGCCATGCACGGCGCCACCGGCATCGCCGGCCGCAGCGCGCCTTCGGCAATTCCGGCTGCAAGAGCCAGACAGGTCAAAGCACGCTGAGCATTCCGGGCTCTTTGCCTGCCATCCCAGGCATCGGCGGAGCTGGCACCGACGTGATGCGCCTCAGCGGGGGCTCGCCAGCATCTGCATCGTCACGACGCAAATATCAGATTAAGGTTCGAATGGTGTTCGCACGCGTCGGCACGCATGGAAGAACTTAGCGGCGAGCCGCAGCGCTGCAGCGGCGGCCTGCGCGACCGGAGGCTGCACACCAGGCAGCTCCTGGGTCATCCTGAGCTCTCACAAGGAGAAAGGATCATCTGTTGGGTGAACTCCCAAAAGGCAGCTTCTGCTCTCCGAGAGTCGTGATGGCTTTCACCTCCTCGGCCTGCCGGGGAGGAGCGGAGAAAGTTTGTACAGAAAACAGCCCTTGGATCTAGCAACGTCTCAGGAAGATCGCACCATGCAGCTCCCCGCCAAATTTTCCGGCGGTTTTAGAGCCAGTCCAAAGACGAAGTAGCTGTTGACGCCGACCGGAATGCTACTAGTATCTCAACTTTGCACATGCCCCCCCCCCATCTGTCCGAACTTTTTAACATCCACCAATGCCAACGGCGCCAGCTTTTCCATCCGGAGTCTTCAAAGGCTCCAAGCCATCGTGACTGTTCTGTGATTCTGTGCGCTCAAAGTTGTCATTGTCATTGTAGCACGCTGCACTCTGTTGGCAGCCTCCTGGCGCATTCAAACGGAAAGTGCGGATCAGCCTCCGCGCCAGTTGCCCCATGCCCGGCCCGCGCGGCCGTAGCGGTCCTCCTCCTTCCAGGACCAAGCTTGTTTCTGAGGGCCGTAGCCGCCATAGCCATCTCTGCCCTTCCACTCCCATCCACGACCTGAGTCTTTGCTCCAGTCGGTGTCCCGGTCCACCTCTTCGAGGATGTGTGTTGGCCCTTCTGACGAAGCAGCGGTGCCCAGCCCGATTGCAAGCGATAGTATGTGACGCCCTGCACCTGAACCTGGGCATCGCTCCAAGCCGTGGCGCCTTCATGGAGCTTGCTCCCGTTCTTCGGGCTGTCTTTAGTGGGCTCAGATCGCAAGTGAACCACGCTCGTGGCCCTCACCTGCACAGCCCTCTCCACGACGTCCTCCGCCCACTGTCGGCGGTCTCGGCCATCTCGTCCGCTGGGTGTCCAGTTCGCCCAGAGATCCTCGGCCTCTTCGCCGGTTCTTGCCTCCAACGCCTCCAAGCCGGTCGCGCTGGGCTTCGTCGCTTCCTCGGCCTCCAGGGAGAGGACCCGCTCCACGGCGCTCATGTACCATGCCTTTCGCAACGACAGAGGCAAACGAACGGACTCGTCTGCTCCATCCGAATCCTTCTCCGATACTGAGCTTGGACTTGTACTGTCTGGTCGAACGGGCGACCCGGGGGCCGTACTGGCCGCCTCCACCCCGCCCACCCTCAGACGTACTTCGTTGATCTCGGCTCGAAGCCGAAAGTTCTCTGTCCGGAGCTCCGACGTCACCTTCTCCAGCGCCTGCTGCTCCAGTTTCAGTCGACTGGTGTCTGCCCGGAGCACTTCCATCTCTGCCAATGCTGCTGCCAGCTTCTCTTCGAGAAGGCTTTCCATGGCGCTGCGGAGCGATGCAAGCGCCGCATCCATGGCTGCGGCAGCCATGGCGCACTCCTAGCACTGACAGACACCCCACCAAACGGTAGCACGTTCAAATCTTGCTGGACCCGGGATGAAGATGCTCAGTGCTGAATCAAGGAACATGGACCCCGTGCGGGGCCTGGGCCTCAGAATCCGGCGATGTCAATATCAAGGAGGCGTGGACAGCAAAGATGGTGCTGACACGACCCACGACCCACAACAGAATGACTACGGGCCTATAGGTGACGGTGACCATGACCGTTCTTCAACAACGAGCTAATCCACAGATGTCGTGCTTTCTGTTGCGAAGGAGAGACAAACGAGAGTCCCAGTAAAGTCCACGGGCGCCTCCTGCGCAGAGAGGATGCGCCTCAGCGAGGGCTCGCCAGCATCTGCATCGTCAGGACGCAAATATCAGATTAAGGTTCGAGGGGTGTTCGCACGCGTCGGCACGCATGGAAGAACTTAGCGGCGAGCCGCAGCGCTGCAGCGGCGGCCTGCGCGACCGGAGGCTGCACACCAGGCAGCTCCTGGGTCATCCTGAGCTCTCACATGGAGAAAGGATCATCTGTTGGGTGAACTCCCAAAAGGCAGCTTCTGCTCTCCGAGAGTCGTGATGGCTTTCAGTTCCTCGGCCTGCCGGGGAGGAGCAGAGAAAGTTTGTACAGAAAACAGCCCTTGGATCTAGCAACGTCCCAGGAAGATCGCACCATGCAGCTCCGCATTTACCGCTACTGCAGTATCATGCAAGCGCAGATCCGCCAAATATTCCAGCAATTTCAGAACCACTCCAAAGATGAAGTAAGTAGCTGGTTGACACCGACCAGAATGCTATAAGTGTCCCGACTTTGCGAAACGAGATTCCCAGTAAAGTCCACGGGCGCCTCCTGCGCAGAGAGGATGCCCCGATCGACCCAGAGCTGCACGAGACGGAGCACCCTGCGGAGGGTTGCGGAGAGTTTGACTGGGTGTGTACGAACATGCAGAAGTCTGAGAGCCTTTGGGCTTCACAGGCACACGGGTCTGTAGCTTCCATTTTTGTTTCTGAGGGAAGGTTGACAGCGGCCAGCGGTTCACCGTGGTCACACTAGCCGGTCGCTTCTGCTGCTGATGCTTGCAATGCTGCGCAAAAGCAAAGTTCACCCCCTGCCCCGGCCCTCCAAGGCCTCGAAGTTTCGTCTCCTTGCGGCGACTGCAGCGCCTTCCGGATTGGGATTCGGAGGCGCTCTACGCGGCACCGAAAGGGTGGGGTCGGGCCAGCTGGTAGCATGGGCGCAGGATCCACGGCAAGTAGGGCCTGAGACAGCCAGCTTCGATCTCTCATTGCATCGATCGGATTCATGCAGGCGCCCTGCTTGAATGCCCGGACCAAAGGAGCGGGCGGCTTGTGTCTGCAGAAGGTCGGAACAATTAGATGGTTCGCCCCTAGCTCCATGTAGACATCACTCTTGGTTCCGACATGAACTTCCGAAGATGGATCTGGAGTAGCTGTGTGTCTGCAGTAGCGACATAGCATAGGACGCCAGTCTCGCAGAGCTTGAGATCAAGACCCAGGTCATCCTCTGTGCTCTCTCCCTCAAACCCCCAGCTATGCCACGTTTCGTAGATCCTTGCTGATGAGCTGCGCGTTTCGCTCTCTTTCTGTCACGCGAGGCTACTTGCGAAGGGGCTGCAATGCAAACCAGGTGGAGAAACAGACTGTCAACAAGCCGCAGCGACATTTCACCAAGACATGCACGGAAACCAAGGAAAAGAGAAGCCACGCAGATAAACACAGAGCTCCTTCCACTTAACCGTTGACCCTAGAATCTGGTCCTGTTGGGATAGTAGGTTGGACACTCAAGAGCACTCAAGACTCCAGGGCACTCTAAGCATGCGCCAAAAGCAGTCCAAGAGCTCCAGCAGCTGAGGGAGTTGGTTTGCTTTTGCTCATCTTTGCCAGATCTCTGAATTTTGACTGGTTCTAATTCCATTCGGCCATGACAGCACTTCTCCAACAAGTGGGCAGCCATGCACACGGATGAGTTAATCTCTGTGTCTTCATGCAGGGCTTCCATGTGTGTCGTGTCTCCACGCTTGACCAGCGAGGTCCCCTGGCATGTAGCGACAAACCTGAAATTCAATTACCGTCAGCTTGCAGCCGCCAAGGCGTGGGCTTCCAAGCCCATTGGTTCGTCGTGCATTACGGCAACACTGTTTCAGCTTGGTGCGTCGCAGCAGGCTTCGTTGCACTTGGGTACAGGCTTGAATCAAGCTTGGAAAGCGTAGTGGCACAGTGATCGGAAGCACTCAGTCGGGCCATCTTTCTTCCTTCGGGAGAGGACGCCCGCTGTCAATGGACTGCACCATTACACTCACTCAGCTCCACGACTCGCAGCCACGCTTAACCTTAAGCGCCTTAACCTTTCTGTAGAGCCGATCCTGTCATTGTGGCTTGATTTGAAAGAAGACCCCATGATCTCCAAAGCCATGCAAATGCCGCTGTTTGCTTCTGTCGCTTGCCTTCCTTCGCTCTGTAAGCACGGCCTGCTCTTTTCTCCATGGCGGAACGGGCTGATCGGATCGCTGGCAAGCAGGTTTCTGTTGTTCGCTCTCCGTGCGATGCTTTGGTGTCTCTGCAGTACGCGAGCTGAGAAACCTGTTTGCCCCACGTCGTTAACGGGGCCGCGACTCACTGAAGCGAGAGAGAGCGAACCTGAAGGCACAGACAGACCAAAGCATTCGCAAAGCCTGGCGACCGCAAACAAAACAACCGGGCCGCCGGCGCTCTTTCAGCACACAGGAGGCGGCACCGCACTCATCGTGCTGAAGCCGCCAAAGCCGCCGAAGCCTCGCAGACTCGCACGAGAGTTCCCTCTCCCCATCCGATCGGTTTCCGCCTCCACCCAGGTGCCGAGTCCACTCGGACTCCCGCGATTCCCCGCCGGGGCTTTGTGGCAAAACGCCAAGCGGGCCGGTGCCACGAAAGGGGCCATGCACGGCGCCACCGGCATCGCCGGCCGCAGCGCGCCTTCGGCAATTCCGGCTGCAAGAGCCAGACAGGTCAAAGCACGTTGAGCATTCCGGGCTCTTTGCCTGCCATCCCAGGCATCGGCGGAGCTGGCACCGACGTGATGCGCCTCAGCGAGGGCTCGCCAGCATCTGCATCGTCAGGACGCAAATATCAGATTAAGGTTCGAGGGGTGTTCGCACGCGTCGGCACGCATGGAAGAACTTAGCGGCGAGCCGCAGCGCTGCAGCGGCGGCCTGCGCGACCGGAGACTGCACACCAGGCAGCTCCTGGGTCATCCTGAGCTCTCACAAGGAGAAAGGATCATGCGTTGGGTGAATTCCCAAAAGGCAGCTTCTGCTCTCCGAGAGTCGT